GATGAGAAATCAGTTATACGTGTTGGTTTACTAATCAATGAAAAAAAATTGTAACAGTCATTTTTTAACAATTCAATATTGAAGTCACCAGCCATATATATATATATATATATATATAATGTCGTTGTCATTGTTGTTTATACTAATATAATATATATCAACATTGTCCCCTTAAAAATACCAAATACACATCTTAAATCTCTTCTCCAAATTTGAACCACCGAAACACCTTTTCACACTCCCATAGGCAAGATATACAAGCAACTTGACGGTGTAGCCATGGGCTCACCACTCGGTCCTGTTCGAAAATTTCTTTTTAGGACATCTTGGGAGCAAAACGTTTAGAGACGATCCGTTATTAAAAACAAATTAAAAACAAACAATGCCAGATAAGTTGACGATATCTTCGTTGCATACAATGATCCGGAACAAGTCAACCACCTACTAGCAACCTTCAACCATCAAAATAGAATTTTGAAAATTGAAAATTCATTGCCATTTTTGGATGTTTTGGTAACGCGTAACGAAAAAAGATTTACAACTGCCGTATATGTCAAAGTACCAAATAAATAAATAAATCATTCAATCATCGTTTAGCGACCAGAGACCAAGTTCCCCGAGGTAGGACGTTGTTTTCTGCGCCAAATTAGGTGATCAGTTGTATCCATTTCATTTAAATTTAGAGCTTTCATGTCTTGTTCGATTGTTTGCGACCAGGACTTCTTAGGACGGCCTTTGGGACGTGTGCCAGGTACTTCAAAATCTGCAAAAGAAGTTATGGCACTGTTTACACTTTGTTTGACATGACCGAATGATGAATTGCCGGCATTCGTCCTTTATATCATCTAAACCAGCACGACGCAAGATTTCGGTAGATTTGATGTGGTTCTTCAGACTAAATCGTTGCATCCATCGGAGCATTTTGTTGTTCCAGTTTGGTTGTCATTGGCCATGTTTCTGCCCCATATAACAAGACCAGACGTATCACAGATTTATAAAGTCTAGATCGTAGTGGTAGTTGGATGTCACCACGCATCAAAAAGGAGATGCCATTTACATTTATTCCAGGCTCTTGAGCTGTTCCAGTACAATCCAGAACATCCCCTAGATATTGAAACGATGTGACTTTCTCTACCTTAATGGCTTCAAAAACATTGCTATTTTGAATTTCTTGTTGTGGTTTGATGCAAGCAGGACAAACAAAATTAGACACTTTTGATAAAGTTTCAATTATTTTTGAACAACGTTTGTGACACCACTGGTTACACTGCTGACACTTGATTGAATTACCTACACCAGCTTTACAAACTGAACAGGGCCATCGTCCAGTAGCTGTGGATTGGATGGGTTCACCAGTGTTCATTGCTTTGGTTTTGCTGATGTTGACATTGAATCCATGATCGGCGAATCTGGTGTTCCAATCTTCAAACATCTGTGCTGCATTCTGCTCAGACGTGGTTGTTAAAACGATATCATCAGCATATATTAGATTACAAATGTCACCAGTGCGTATCGGTTTTGTGATTTTTTCCATCACAGTTATAAATAACACTGGACTGAGAATCGAGCCTTGGTGAACTCCAACGCCGATGTCAAATGCATCTTGTTTCCAACCGTTGTGCTGACGAAAGTCTTAGTATTCAACAAGTCGAACAGGATATTCTGGAATGAGTTGTCGACGATGACTCCACATGATTGCTTCACGGGGAACTCGATCAAATGCTTTTCCAAGGTCTACAAAAAAGTGTGATAGTTGTTGATGCTTTGCGAGGTACTTCTCTTGCAGTTGCCGAAGGATGTGAATTGCATCAATTGTTGATTTCCCCGCTAGAAAACCAAATTTATAATTTCCGACGTTAATCTTCTTTCAATGATTTTTTCGACAATTTTCATGGAGTGTTCTAACAGACGTATACCCCGATATGATGAACAGTTCAATGGATCACCTTTGACTTTGTCAAGCGAAACTATCATACTATAATTCCATTCAGTCGGTATTGAGCAATTTCTACACACTCCAGGCAAAGTTGTAGTAACGTTTGGATACCTGCAGTACCAGATTCTTTGATAATGTCATTTGTGAGTCCAGAGGGCCCTGCTGCCTTTCCATCCTTCATAGCTTTCAGAGCTTCTGTAAGCTCTACAGTGATGTCTGGAATTGGACCGTCGATGGGTGGAGCGTCCTAGTTGACATTGATGGGATTTGTTTCATTTAACAGACGGTTGACGGTTGAACTCCACTGTAGCTTGATCTCATCTTGTTCAAGAACCATCCCATTTTTGTCGTTTTTGATTCATGAGGCACCAACTATGTCTTTTTTTGTACGCTTTGCTTTTCGATACAGAGATTTCATTTGTTCACCTTTGCTTTTAGTGAGCCACTCTTTATACTGATCTGTCCGAGCCAGTGCAACTTAACGTCTTGCATAGTTGTTCTTCTCACGAAAAATTTTATGGTCATCAACAGACTTTGATTTTTGCCATTGCTTGTATGCAACTTTCTTTTCAGCTATTGCATTTTGTACACTGTCATTCCACCACCAAGTGTCACGTTCATGCTGACATTTTGTACCAGTTTTCCCACAAACTGTAGTTGCAGCGTTTATCAAAACGGTTTTGTATGTACTCCAATCTGTACTGGCTTGCGGTTGGTGGTTTAACTGTGTGGCGACAATCCGTTGAAATTTTTCTCGATGAATATTGCTTTTCAGCTTCCACGTTTTGATTCTTCGAGGCATTTGTTTAGATTAATGTTATGACATTTCGACAAACAGGTCTGCCACAAGGAGTCTATGTTGGGCAACACATGATTCGCCAGGTATAAATTTTTTAATAGCCTTTGGTGTCATTCCGTTCTCCATAGCCAAAACCACCATGTACGTTGTCAAAACCATCTGCTTTCTCTCCAACGTGGCCATTGAGATCGCCTCCAATCAGGATTGTTTCAGATTATGGTATTGTCGAGATGGTGTCAGATAACGCAGCCCAGAAGTCATTTTTCATCTCTTCTGATTCGCCTGTCTGTGGTGCGTATGCAGAAAAAATAACCATTGTTTGCTTTTCTAGGCGAAGCTTGATCCACATGAGACGTGAATTAATCCTTTTAATATCCAGTAATTCATGGGCTAGCGGTTCTCTGACAAAAATTCCAACACCATTTTGGCCGTCTTTTGACCATTCCAGAATAGTTTATATTTTTCTTTGTCTGAGTTGACATGACAAACACCATTCGATTTCCATCGGGTCTCCTGAAGGCAGCAGATGTCAATCTTTCTACGCTCGAGCATTTCTACGATTTCCATGCTGCGGCCAGTCAGTGATTCAACATTGAGCGTTCCAAGTCTAAGTACAATAGAGGGGTATTCTGAATTTTTCTGCAACATCCCTCCGCTACTGCATACTTCCCAGGGATTCTTGGCACCCCTTGACCGCTTAAGGCCTGCTGGGGACTAGCGGCCGTTGTTTTTCTTTGTGATGGCATCGGAATAATTTGGGGAAAAGTTTTTACATCCGGACACCCATCCTGACGACAACCACCAGTTATAAGCGGTGGGCCTAGCCTTTTGCTCAAAAACACGTAAGGCAGCGTGGATGTAGTTTCATGTCATGCCCAGGACTGATTTTTTTAAAATTTATTTAACTACTTTTAACTAGTATTTACTGATTTTCTAAAGTTAATTATAACGAAAGGCTTTGTTGATATTAAAGTGAATACTCCGTTAATTGACGGATCTCAACTATCAGATTGTAATCACATCAGCTTTTTGATTGTGTAATAACTTGGTTTAATTAAGAATACAAAAGAAATCGAACTGATAATAATCAGATTTTGTAATGACATTAATCATGTTCGGTCGGTAAAATCCGAGGTTTCAATTTTTCATATTGGAAGTTTTTTTACTTTAGCGATTTTTAAATAATTTCAGATTAAATCAGAGGAGATTAAATTAATTCAATTAAAGTTTTTTATTTATATATATATAAACACATATTTTTATTGCTAAAAATTTTATTATATATATATATATAATAAAATTATATTATAGCCTCTATATATATATATATACACGCATTAATACATTTTTGTATACCATTACCGTTTGTAAGATTTTCAAAAAATATTAAAAATTGCTACCTTCTCTTTGTTCATTCTATGAAGTACAATAGTTAAAATATATTCTATTCCAGCTTTTATTTCATTCCATTTCGAATCCTTTTTCATGTCTGGAATTCGATACGTTTTTACATTTAATAAAAAATATAACACTTTGCATGTTAAACTTATTTTTAAAAACTTTTATTTAACTCAATTTTCTTATCCGTGGTGTACGCGATATGGGAATCATGATTTGGATTATAATGATGGTTGTCGGTAAACAAATATTTTTAATGCTAAAAATTTTATTATATAAAGTCAATTCAATTAAGTAAATAAAAAATTGAAAATAATAAATAGCAATTTGAAATGATGAAAATAATAAAAATTCAAATGCTAAAATTGAAGATGTTATTAGTGAATTTTCGTTCCAAACTATGTATAGTATTCATGGTTTCCGGCGTAAATTTGTTTTTTGTTGCTCAGCCGCCATTTCAATTCTAACCAACGGATTCTGTTAAATTTTCTAAATCCAAAAAACGTCATGAACGGACGATACTACAAAATTGATGTATAGTAAACTGGCAAGGCCCAACCGTATCGTCATCAAGAAATACATTTATTTATTTAATTCAGATATGTATAATAAAAATTTAATGTGGTTTATTGTATATCTAAATATCAAAATTAAATAAGCTCAAAAGTTATATGAAAATTAAAAATGTTTCTTACAAACCCATTACGTTAAAGCTACGTTTAAATGACCGGTAATTCTCTAGTTTAGGTGCCCTAATTCCTACGGTATTATACCTGATATCGGCAGCATATATAAGGTGCACTCAGTTGTGATACACGATCAGAATTAAGTCCAGTATTGTTCAAAGAAACTTACGTGCTTGCTAATTTTATATCCGTTATTAGTAACAATCATCCACTTACCATAGAAAAAACTATTCGTTAAACAATTTAAAATTTTGTTAATTTTTAGTAACTGTGTGTGTTCATAATAATAGTCAGAGTTTAGGCACCAAACCTGGATGATTTAATTAATGATTATAATAATCAACTATTAATATACTGTTTGCACTCAGTAAACTCTGTTTAATTATTGAGTTTTCCGCAATTTTGTTTTAATTTAAATGATTTTTGAAGAATTCAAACCAGAAAATCTAATTTATGCAAATTTACGATGTTCTTTTTCTATGTTTCTATTTATATTGTTATAACCGACCCCTTGAAATGTAGAGTATGGTTATTTTTCTACGTGGATTCTTGACTCCTGAACAGACTTATTTCAGATGACTTTATTAGAAAGAAAACAGTGCTGGCAATACACGCAAGTGATCAATCACTCGTTTGTTCTATCGATAAAGTCGTTAGAATACAGCACAATAACTAATCGACAGGTAAATCACGGAATACAACTATTCGTCAGTATCAGCTTCCCTTATCAGACTAATTACATTGTCCTCTAGCCTTGGTGTTCTTGCAGTGAGCTTCCAGTTTGTAATCTTCAGAAGATTCCACTGCTAACACCAGTGTCGTAACCTTCTCGACCTCGTAACTACCAACACCGATGTTTTAGCTTCAATTCTCGTTATATCTCCAACACCGTGTCGTAGCTTCCAACGATAGTCAAAAGTTCGTTTATCCGTAGGTACAAGATTCCCGATAGATGGACACAACTACTCTAAACGCAAACTAAATTGAACGTTTATTTAACACCAGCAGTAATACAGTAAAAAAAGCAGAAACAATAAATTAATCCAAATAACTACGACTTACGTCAACCGTCTGCCTCTTACCTGTACTCCTCGTGTTTTGTTGTCCTATCCTTCGTTCTCGTTCGTCTCGTCTCTTATATAGCCGGTGATACCGCGTCACGTGACTTTTTTTAATTAGTTACGACTTCTAATTAAATTTGCAAGCGTTTCATTTAATTTCTAACTACTTATTCTTTTTTCGCCTTGTCTGTAACAATGTTATGTTCTTAATGTTTGACCGATCATTATGCATGTTCATCCGTTGAAGCGGTTTGTTTGAAATAATGAATTTGTTGATTTCAATTAAATTTGTAATTATTTGTTGTAATTGAACAATCATTTATTACATACTTATTGCATTTATTATTTAAATCAATAGTTTTCTGCACGTTATCGTTATTTAGATTCGTCCTATTTCTTAGATTAAGGTCCTGACTAACGCATTCTAATCTCCAACTGAAACAACATCCTTTTTAGGACCACAATACTATTTAAGAGCATTGATGCAAGCAGGACAAACAAAATTGGACACTTTAGATGAAGTTCCAATTATTTTTGAACAACATTTGTGACACCACTGGTTACACTGCTGAAACTTGATTGAATTGTTACCTACACCAGCTTTACAAACTGAACAGGGCCATCGTCCAGTAGCTGTGGATTGGATGGGTTCACCAGTGTTCATTGCTTTGGTTTTGCTGATGTTGACTTTGAATCCATGATCGGCGAGTTTGGTGTTCCAATCTTCAAACATATGTGCTGCATTCTGCTCAGACGTGGCTGTTAAAACGATATCATACATTAGATTCCAAATGTCACCAGTGCGTATCGGTTTTGTGATTTCTTCCATCACAGTTATAAATAACAGAATCGAGCCTTGGTGAACTCCAACGCCGATGTCAAATGCAAATGTTTCCAACAGTTGTGCTGACGAGAGTTTTAGTATTCATATACATTTCCATAACAAGTCGAACAAGATATTCTGGAATGAGATGTCGACGTAGACTCCACATGATTGTTTCACGGGGAACTGGATCAAATGCTTTTCCAAGGTCTACAAAAAAGTGTGATAGTTGTTGATGCTTTGCGAGGTACTTCTCTTGCAGTTGCCGAAGGATGTGAATTGCATCAATTGTTGATTTCCCCGCTAGAAAACCAAATTGATAATTTTCGATGGTGATGCTCGACGTTAATCTTCTCTCAATGATTTTCTCGACAATTTTCAGGGTGTTTTCTAACAGACGTATACCCCGATATGATGAACAGTTCAATGGATCACCTTTGACTTTGTCAAGCGAAACTGTCATACTATAATTCCATTCAGTCGGTATTGAGCAATTTCTACACACTCCAGGCAAAGTTGTAGTAACGTTTGGATACCTGCAGTACCAGATTCTTTGATAATGTCATTTGTAAGTCCAGAGGGCCCTGCTGCCTTTCCATCCTTCATAGCTTTCAGAGCTTCTGTAAGCTCCTCTACAGTGATGTCTGGAATCGGACCTTCGATGGGTGGAGCGTCGAAGTTGAAATTGATGGGATTGGTTTCGTTTAACAGACGGTTGAAGTATTCTCTCCACTGTAGCTTGCTCATCATGTTCATGAACCATCTCATTTTTGATACATGAGGCACCAACTATGTCTTTGTCTTTTTTCGTACGCTTTACTTGTTTTGCTATACGATACAGAGATTTCATTTGTTCACCTTTGCCTTTAGTAAGCCACTCTCTGCACTGATCTGTCCGAGCCATGCAACTTGACTTCTTCCATAGTTGTTCTTCTCACGGAAAATTTTATGGTCATCAACAGACTGATTTTTGCCATTGCTTGTATGCAACTTTCTTTTCTTTCATTTTGTACACTGTCATTCCACCACCAAGTGTCCCGTTCATGTTGACGTTTTGTACCAGTTTTCCCACAAACTGTAGTGGCAGCGTATATCAAAACGGTTTTGTATGTACTTCAATCTGTACTGGCTTGCGATTGGTGGTCTAACTGTGTGGCGACAATCTGTTGAAATTTTTCTCGATGAATATTGCTTTTCAGCTTCCACGTTTTGATTCTCCGAGGCATTTGTTTAGACTAATGTTTTGACATTTCGACAACCAGGTCTGCCACAAGGAGTCTATGTTGGGCGACACATGATTCGCCAGGTATAACTTTGACGTTTTCCAATAGCCTTGACAGCGAAGAAATCAATTTGCGTGGCTGATGGTCCACTTTTGTATGTCATGAAATGTTCCAACTTTTTTCTAAAATATCTGTTCAATAAACAAAACCCGTGACTTTCAGCAAACTCAAGGATGCGGTTGCCATCTTCATTCTGTTCTCCATAGCCAAAACCGCCATGTACGTTGTCAAAACCATCTGTTTTCTCTCCAACGTAGCCATTGAGACCTCCTTCAATCAGGATTGTTTCAAATTTTGGTATTGTTGAGAGAATGCAGCCCAGAAGTAATTTTTCATCTTTGATTCGCCTGTCTGTGGTGCGTATGCAGAAAAAATAATTATTGTTTGCTTTTCTAAGTGAAGCTTGATCCACATGAGACGTTTTAACATCCAGTACTTAATGGCTAGCCCAATACTTAATTTTAACATCCAGTACTTATTGGCTAGTTATTGACAAAAATTCTGACAAAAATTCTAACACCATTTTTGGTCGTATTTGACCATTCCAGAATAGTTTATATTTTTTCTTTGTCTGAGTTGACATGACAGACACCATTCGATTTCTATCGGGTTTCTTGAAGGCAGCAGATGTCGATCCTTCTACGCTCGAGCATTTTTGCGATTTCCATTCTGCGACCAGTCAGTGATCCAACATTGAGCGTTCCAAGTCTAAGTACTATAGAGAGGCCATTCTGAATTTTTCTGCAACATCCCTCCGCTATTGCATACTTCCCAGAGATTCTTGGCACCCCTTGACCACTTAAGGCCTGCTGGGGACTAGGGGCCGTTGTTTTTCTTTGTGATGGCATAAGAGTAGTTTGGGGAAAAGTTTTTACATCCGGACACCCATCCTGACGACAACCACCAGTTAAAAAGGCCTAGCCTTTTTCTCAAAAGCACGCAAGGTAGCGTGGATGCAGTTTTATGTCATGCCCAGGACCAGTTTATAATTCCATATTTAAGTCTGATATATCTCTTGGCTATAAGTAAAATAAAGAATGCGTCGTGTTGAATGTTTGAATATTCTTTTTTGCTGAAAAGGTGTTTTCTGATAATCTCATAAAATTAAACTGATCCATTTGTGAGAGTAAAATTATTTATACAACTGAAACAATATTCGACCAATTATTCTACTACTTTATTATTAGTTAAAGTATAAAATTTCAAATTGTAAAGACACAAACTTTGATGAAAAAGCGGAATAAATTTAGCATCATCAACATCCTCTTGACTTGCCATTTTCATAGAGAACCGAATTTCCATCATAGGCAGTTGTTTAACAGTCTTATATATCTTTATATTAAACAAAATTAATTTAATTAAAACAATCTAGACCGAAATAAAGTTGTAAAAATTAAGTTTTATTGTGATTTATTGTTGAGTCTCAACATTCAACATGTTTCAACATTCATCAATTGATAAACAAATTATTTAAACAAGAAATACAATACTTGGTCTATTTGGGTGGAGTTGAAATGAGGTTTAAGCATTTTTTGAATCAAATTGGGCCAGCCATCAACAACATACATCAAATCTGCAAGACCAACCACGACACAGCCTTTAAAACTGTTTGCTAGCTCGATCCTAAAGATTCCAATTATACCGATTTATAAATTAATGTAAACGGAATTATTAGCATTAATAATGATCAAAATTAAAACAAACAATTATTAAAGAAATATAAAAAAATGGTTAAAATAAACAGTATTGAGGTAATTTCTTGTAATTTTATAATGCACCTTACATGACCTCAATGATTAAACGGCTTTTCGCTTATCATTACAATTAAATAAATGAGTACTAAAGAATAAATAACTTCAAAATCAAATGTTTTGTTTTTATCTGTTATGATAAAATATTTTAGAAAATGAAGTGAAGTAACAGTTTTGATCCCGGTAATCGTATCATTATCTGGGCTTCTTTGTCGCGGGTTGATGCAGGCGGGGTATTCCATTTGATCGAGTTGCTTCCAGCTCCTGCCCCACACACCAAACATAGACAATGACCAAAGCCCACAGGCTTAGCGGTACCACCGGTGATCATAGATTTTGTTTCGTCAAGATTTACCTTTAGCCAGTGTTCGGCGAACTGGGTATTCCAGACCTCAAACTTTCTGATTCCAGACCTCAAACTTTCTGACTGCGTCTTCTTCCGAGGCCGCCACCAGAACAATATAATCTGCATATATCACATTCCATATCTTATCTGAGCGTATCGGTTTGGTTATTTCTTCCATCACCGTAATGAGTATTGATCCCTGATGGACGCCGACGTTATCAAATTTATTCGTGTTACCGGCTGTTGTATTGACCAGAGTTTTTGTGTTAGAGTACGTTGTCATAACCAGCCGAACCAAATATTTGGAAACAAGCTGTCTACGTAGACTCCACCTGATTTGCCCACTCTGTCAAAAGTTTTTTCCAAGTCCACAAATACATAGAACAATCGCCTTTGCTTTGCCAAGTATTTTTCTTGTAGTTGACGAATGATATAAATAGGTGAATTTTCCTGCCAAGAAGATGGTAACCACCTATTGAAACACACAACAACAGTCTTCTTTCAATGATTTTTTCAATAACTTAAAGGGGGTGTTCCAGAAGACGTTATACCCCGATATAAGGAGCATTTCAGTACGTCCACCCCAATAGGGTTTGTTTCATTCAATTACTGATCGAAGTAATACTTCCGGTGATCCTTCACTTCATTCTGCAAGGTTATTATGGTGCCTTTATTATTCTTTATGCCTGATTTGCTATTCAGTAGAGTGACCGAATTTGTTCGCTTTTACTCCCAGTCAGCCATACCTTGCATTGATTTTCACGAGCTATCGCAACCTGATATTTCGCTTCTGTGTTCTTTGATCATGTCTTTCGATCTTCATCAGCCTTCATCTTCTGCTAACGTTTGAAAGCTGCTTTCTTACTGGCAATAGCATTTTGCACCGTCTCGTTCCATCCCCAAGTTTCGTGGTTGTGCTGGAGTTTTGGTCAAGATTTTCCACAGTATTTAGTGTCAAGTCTGATATTCCAGGAGGGGACGCCCGATTTTCCGCAACATCCCTTCACTGTTGCGTACTTCTTGGACATTGTCACTTAAGTTCTTCTTGGACTTGTCACTTAAGTTCTTCTTGGACTTGTCATTTAAGTTCTTCCAGGGAACCAGGGAATAGATGAACATTTTTTTTTTAGTGATGTTTGGGAGAAAAATTTTTTTGTATCTGGAATTGCCCAATTTTCAACGACAACCACCAGTTATAACCAGTGGGCCTAGCTTTTTTGAGGCGGCGCCGGCGGCGGTTGCCGTTTATCTCGTGTCCAAGAGAGCACTGTTGTAAGCAATGCACCTAGCCTTTGGGTCAAATGTCCGTTTCATTTACAATCACTTAATAATCTTTGCACAATCATGTATAATTTAACGAACTTAAGGTGAATCAGTAAGGTTAGGGTTAGGCCTGTGCAGCTTTGAACAATATTAGTGATAACATATGTATTATGTAGGGGTATCCTCGAATAAATTATAATAATTTATCAATTAGATATTTCAAAACTTGGCGATACAAGATCATGCATGTCACCACATAGGCGTTAATTTTTTTTTCTTCTTCGATGATTAGTATTATCCAATAAGTTATTATCCAAATGGAAAACTTTCATCTTTGTCAGCTTTTTTTCATGATTTTTGATCCTGTAGTCCACGTCGTTTTTTTTTGTTACTGAACTTTTGAAGTTTTGGGCATAGCCATTTTATACGCCGTGAGTTGTATGATAACATCGAGTCATTGCTTTTGAAATCTCCATTATTTCCTTTCGGGTCATGTCGGGTTTTCGTCGTCTAATATTTAGACACAGACTTACTAGTTTAAACGTTTATTTGAATGCCAACAGTAATGAAAGCACTAAATCATTCACTAGCTCTTTTATATATACACATTACTGTGTACACCAACCATTCTTCTGCCCTGCCTTGCACCTAACCACTTCCATCTGAACCTGCCTACAAAAGCATACTAAAGAGTGGCTCTGAACTTTTCTTGAAATTGTCTAACAATAATAATTGCATCAATAGTACTCTTCACTGGTCAAAAACCAAACTGTATTTCGTAAACTGTATAACTTGGTTCATAGTTATTTGCTCTAAAATTCTTTCCATCACTTTCACATTCCAATGTTCCAATAAAATTGATTGCTGTAAGATTCGTAGTTTTAAGGGTCCCCTTTACCTTTGTTTTTTGGAAGGATTATACTTTTCTCCCAATCTTCCGGGATTTCTTTTTCCATATGGTATTACGTTGTATTAATTGATATTACGATTGTTATAAACGCGGGAATGATCGAATTGCGCTGCATTATTTATTATTCAATTATTGTTATCTTTGTAATCTTTGTGTTGTAAATCATAGATTGTAAAATTGTATCTATGCTAAAATCGGACTATAAATTCGTCCTGAATATAAGGTTTCGGAGGAGGTTACAAGCAAAAAGAAAGCGAAGTCGTAATTGCGATTTATAATATAAATAATTATATATTTGTAATATTTTATTGTTTCTATTACTGTTGGTATTCAAACAAACGATCAACAAAGTTTTGTATTTGAAGCAGTTGTGTTCATCTATCGGAAATCAAGAACCTACCATCGTTGGAAGCTACAACATTGATTTTAAAAATATAGAAATTATTGAATTTATAACATCGGTGTTGGTAGTTACGAAGTCAAGGATTTACACCACAGATTTTTGATAGCTTGAAACTCAATGCAGTAAAGAATGCATGCACTAGAATTACTCAATGTAAATAGTCTGAGGAAAGATCTGCATCAAAGAAACCTCGACTGGTAAGGAGGGGAAACTTCTACAGGTTTTGATAAACCGCCTAAGGGTCGCTCTAATAAAAGAAGAAATCGATCCCGATGACTTTTCAGATCTTTTGTTAGCCGAATTAAAAGATTTTAAAACGGAACAAAACGAACAAGGATCAAGTACGACAAACGACAGGAATTCGTCTGCGTCTGACATGCAACAAATCCTGCAGATTATCTCTTAAATGAAGACTGATGCCCACCGTGGAGCAGAAAAACAATTAAAAGAAGGGATTTCAAAAACGACATTATTTATTAATATTTAGGCATTAAAAAAAACCTAAATAGTAAAATAGAGGAAGTTAATACCGTGATAAACGAACCTATAGCCGAATCAAAAGAAAAAAGAGCCGAATTACGACCGGCCAATAGAAAAATTACAATCAACCTTTGAAAGAATGTTACCTAACAATCGAAACTTCTACACCAGAAACGGCTAAACAAGAGTCTGAGACTATTCTACCAGCGGATGAATTCGACTGCGACGCACGTCAGAATAGAGATGAAGATGACATCAACAACGGCTTCATTGCTGATGGGGATGAAAATTACCTACGTGTAATTTCGACTGCGACGCACGTTAGAATAGAAATGCACGTGACGTTGCACACGTTGATGAAGATAACGACATCAACCATTGCTGATGGGGAAGAAAATTGCATCGCTGCACCACTGATTGACAGGATCTTCAAGGATCTTCAATGTCAAGGACGATTTTTGCAACATGCATCAAAGATACCAGTATGGTTATTTTACACCTCTAAACATCGAAAGAAATATAGAACTTGCTTTATGTGCAGATGAAATCAAGAAAAAAACACGACAGCTACCCATGGCTAGAAAAACCGCAACAACGAAAACAAGGCGTGACCTGAAAAGAAATAACCCAGGTTTCAAGAGCAAAAACCTGGTCTGATTGTACAATCTACGGTGCAAAAAAAGGCATTGCCAGGCGAAACTCCCAAAGAATTGGAAAGGTCGGTACAAGATCACTAAACAAGAAAAATGACGTGATCTACAGAACCCATGATCTTGGAAGAAAATCGACAGAGATAAAAGTTGTTCATTCAAATAGAATAAACCCACCTTAGCCTGTGTTAGGGACTAACAGGCTAAGTTGGGGTAATATGTAACCACGGAAATGATCGAACATTTGACGATCGTTGGAAGCTACAACACTGGTGGTGGAAATATAGAGATCTTTATATAGAGAAGTCATAACATTGGTGTTGGTAGTTACGAGAGTCAAGGGTTACAACAATTATATGTAAAGTATTTATTATTTTCAGAACTTAGAATCAATAAATTTTAACATTGAAAAAATAAAATGAAAATAAATTATTAAAAAAAACCTGAAGTGATGTTTGTTTTCATTATTTATAAATGGTAAACATAACAAAGAGCAGTCATCTACCCATTGTCCCTGTACAACCATCTGCATGAGATTAATGACTCTAAGACTTGTGGACAAGTAATTTAATTCAGCACTCATGTCTAGCATTGCCTGTAAAAAATAATAATAAATGTATATAAATTATTTTATAAAATAGAGACATAATTTTTATAATACACATATTATTTATAATTTTATTATATATTCTATATAATATATACAACATCATGCTTTTCGAGAACACAGTACAATCATAAATGCTTATGCAACCAAAATCTAACAGGAAAAAATTTATATAGTCAACTTTTATGTTCCTTAGAATTTTACATACAAAACTTGTTTCTATAGAACAAAAATAATTACTCTATAACAAACAAAATTTACATAGAGTAAAAAAAATATCGGACCAGCAAACATTCTATGAATTGATATGTGTCCAGGGTATGACATAAAACTGCATCCACGCTGCCTTGCGTGCTTTTGAGTGAAAGCCTATGCCCACCGCTTATAACTGGTGGTTGTCGTCAGGATGGGTGTCCGGATGTAAAAACTTTTCACCAAATTATTCCTATGCCATCACAAAGAAAAACAACGGCCCCTAGTCACCAGCAGGCCTTAAGTGGTCAAGAGGTGCCAAGAATCCCTGGGAAGTATGCAGTAGCGGAGGGATGTTGCAGAATGGCCCCTCTATGGTACTTAGACTTGGAACGCTCAATGTTGGATCACTGACTGGCCGCAGCATGGAAATCGCAGAAATGCTCGAGCGTAAAAGGATTGACATCAATTATTCTGGAATGGTCAAAAGACGGCCATAAATGGTTGTCGAAATGTCAAAACATTAGTCTAAACAAATGCCTCGGAAAATCAAAACGTGGAAGCTGAAAAGCAATATTCATCGAGAAAAATTTCAAGAGATTGTCGCCACACAGTTAGACCACCAATCGCAAGCCAGCACAGATTGGAGTACATACAAAGCCGTTTTAATGAACGCTGCAACTACAGTTTGTGGGAAAACTGGTACAAAACGTCAGCATGAACGTGACACTGGGTAGTGGAATGACAGTGTACAAAATGCAATAGCTGAAAAGAAAGCTGCATACAAGCAATGGCAAAAATCAAAGTCTGTGGATGACCATAAAATTTTTCGTGAGAAGAACGACTATGCAAGAGGTCAAATCGCACTGGTTCGGACAGATCAGTGCAGAGAGTGGCTCACTAAAAGTAAAGGTGAACAAATGAAATCTCTGTATCATATAGCAAAACAAGCAAAGCGTACGAAAAAAGACAAAGACATAGTTGGTGCCTCATGTATCAAAAACGACAAAAATGAGATGGTTCTTGAACAAGATGAGATCAAGCTACAGTGGAGAGAATACTTCAATTGTCTGTTAAACGAAACAAATCTCATCAATGTTAACTTTGATGCTCCACCCATCGATGGTCCGATTCCAGACATCACTGTAGAGGAGCTTACAGAGCTGGACTCACAAATGACATTATCAAAGCATCTGGTACTGCAGGTATCCAAACATTACTACAACTTTGCCGTCAAAATCTGGAGAAATTGCTCAATGCCGACTGAATGAAACTATAGCATGACAGTCCGGTTATACAAAAGCAAAGGTGATCCATTGGACTGTTCATCATATCGGGGTATACGTCTGTTAGAACACTGTTAGAATTGTCGAAAAAATCATTGAGAGAAGATTAACGTCGTGCATCACAATCGGAAATTATCAATTTGGTTTTCTAACGAGGAAATCAACAATTGATGCAATTCACATCTTTCGGCAACTGCAAGAGAAGTACCTGGCAAAGCATCAACTACTATCACACATTTTTGTAGACCTTGAAAAAGCATTTCATCGAGTTCCTCGTGAAGCAATCAGATGGAGTCTACGTCGACAACTCATCCCAGAATATCTTGTTCGACTTGTGATGGAAATGTATACGAATACTAAGACTCTTGTCAGCACAACTGTTGGAAACATTTGCTATCGGCGTTGGAGTTCACCAAGGCTCGATTCTCAGTCCACTGTTATTTATAACTGTGATGGAAGAAATCACAAAACCGATACGCACTGGTGACATTTGGAATCTAGTATATGCTGATGATATCGTTTTAACAACCACGTCTGAGCAGAATGCAGCACAGATGTTTGAAGATTGGAACACCAGACTCGCCGATCATGGATTCAAAGTCAACATCAGCAAAACCAAAGCAATGAAACACTGGTGAACCCATCCAATCCACCAATACTGGACGATGGCCCTGTTCAGTTTGTAAAGCTGTTGTAGGTAACAATTCAATCAAGTGTCAGCAGTGTAACCAGTGGTGTCACAAACGTTGTTCAAAAATAATTGGTACTTTATCTAAAGTGTCCAATTTTGTTTGTCCTGCTTGCATCAATCCACAGCAAATTCGAAATAACACTGTTTTTGAAGCCATTAAAATAGAGAAAATCACATCGTTTCAATATCTAGGGGATGTTCTGGATTGTACTGGAACAGCTGAAGCTGCCGTTCGAGCACGCATACGTGCAGCCTGGAATAAATGGCATCTCCTTGCCTCCATGATATAAAGGACGAATGCCGGCGACACCGTCTGCGGTGGTTTGGTCATGTCAAACGAAGTAGAAATAGTGCCATAACTTCTCTTGCAGATGTTGAAGTACCTGGCACACGTCCCAAAGGCCGTCCAAAGAAGTCCTGGTCGCAAACAATCAAGCAAGACATGATAGCTCTAAATTTAAATGAAATAGATACAATTGATCGTCTAATTTGGCGCAAAAAGTTGATGGCAAAGAAAACAACGTCCTACCATGGGAAACCGGGTTGATTGATTGATTGAGATGAGCGGTGTTTTATGAAATAACTTTTTTTTCTAGTATTCTAATGAATTTTGTGCATTCTACCTCAACTAATTTCAATAGAATCGGAGTCATGTTTGCATGGAATAAAGAATAAATTTAATTTTTTAAACCTTTCTAATTTTTTAATTGCATTGTTTCACTGTTGTTAATTTTCATTTTTTGTAATTTTTTTTACACAAAATTTTATTTTATACAAAATAAATGACTAAGAGGATGTTTGTGGATTAAGCAATATAAAAATTTTTCCCTGAATAATCTCTACATACCAGAATTTCTATATAGCAAATTTATTTCTTGGAACCATCAAGTTCGTTATATGGAGTCCGACTGTGTTTTGTAGAAAAAATATTGTCAAGAATCCACAAAATACAGTGTTTTTTAAATTTTCCTGAATTGTTATGCTACAAATTTATCGTTAATTAAATATAGTTAATATTATATATATTTATAGTTAATTATAGTTAATTTATCAATGGTCAAATTAAATTAAATGGTCAAAACGATATAAACATGATTTTCTTTGCATCTTTTTGCTCATATACAAAACATGTTCACGTATTTACACATCTTCACATTCTACATTTATTATACATATGTTTACACATAGAATGTTTGCTGATCCTATATTTTTTTACTCTGTGTAAATTTTGTTTGTTCTAGAGTAATTATTTTTGTTCTATAGAAACAAGTTTTGTATGTAAAATTCTAAGGAACATAAAAGTTGACTATATAAATTTTTTCCTGTAAGATTTTCGTTGCAAAACGTGATAAAAGTTTGAAAACTGACATCACATTAAGAGCTTCGTGATGTTCAATCAGAATATAACGCACAAACTGAAGAATCGGATTTGGAAATATCAACTCCGGTTTAACACGCTTTCGTACTAAACCTATTAATATAAGCAAAAATTCAATTCTTTTGCTTCTTTTACAAGACAACTACACAATGTAAGAATGGTAATAACAGCCAGCAGTTGAAGCAGCAGATTCTGTCACGACTTTGCAAATTTTGATGATCACAGCAAGTAATTTTGTTATTTATCAATTGCATATAATTATTGTTACAGACATGAAGCCGAGATAGGAACTAGTAATTAGAAATTGCGTGAAGTCGTAAATGGGATTTACGTAGTTATTTGGGTTAATTTAATGTTTCTGTTGATACTAAATAAACGTTCTACTTAGTTTGCGTTTTCTTGGCTATCGTTGAAAGCTACAACGCGGTTTTGGAGATATAGCGAGTATTGAAGCTATAACATCGGTGTTGGTAGTTACGAGGTCGAAGAGGTTAAAACACTGGTGTTAGAAGTGGGATCTTCAGGAGATTACACACTGGGGACTAGAGGTAACATTTTGATAACTGAAAACACTGCGGGAAGGGCTAGAGAACTCAATGTAATTAGTCTGACAAGAGAAGCTTGACACTGACGAATAGTTGTATTGTGCTGTATTTTAACGATTTTATCGATTGAATAAACGAGTGATTGGTCACAGCAATACACACAAATAATTGCCAGCACTGTTTTCCTTCTGATAGTTTTTTTCGCTTACGCAGCCGCTCTTCTAAATCGACAAGGTCAATTTTTTTTTAATTTTTCTATTTTTTGTCATAATTTTTTTAGTTATGTGTAGCAATTATACTAGAAAAATAATTACTAATTAAAATGAATATTTCAATATTTATTATGCGATTTAACATTCCATAAAAAAATTTATGTTACTTTGTTAGATTTTTTTTATGTCCTGGGCATGATATGATATAAAACTACATCCACGCAGCCTTGCGTGCTTTTGGGCAAAAGACTAGGCCCACCGCTAATAACTGGTGGTTGTGGGTTAGGGTTAGCGTGTCCGGATGTAAAAACTTTCCCCAAAATTTATTCCATGCCATCACAAAAAACAACGGCCCCTAGTCTCCAGCAGGCCTTAAGTGGTCAAAGAATGCTAAGAATCCTAGGAAAGTATGCAATAGCGGAGGGATGTTGCAGAATGGCCCCCCTATGGTACTAAGACTTGGAACGCTCAATGTTGGATCACTTACTGGCCGCAGCATGGAAATCGCAGAAATGCTCGAGCGTAAAAGGATTGACATCTGCTGCCTTCGGAGACCCGATGAAAATCGAATGGTGTCTGTCTTCAACTCAGACAAATAAAAATATAAACTATTTTGGAATGGTCAAAAGACGGCAAAAAATGGTGTTTGTCAAAAAACCGCTAGCCCAAGAAAAACTGGATATAAAAAGGATTAATTCACGTTTCATGTGGATCAAGCTTCGCCTAGTAAAGCAAACAATGATCATTTTTTCTGCATACGCACCACAGACAGGCGAATCAAATGACTTCTGGGCTGCGTTCTCTGACACCATCTCAACAATACCAAAATCTGAAACAATCCTGATTAGAGATCTCCACGTTGGAGAGAAAACAGATGGTTTTGACAACGTACATAGCGGTTTTGGCTATGGAGAACGGAATAAAGATGGCAACCGCATCCTTGAGTTTGTTGAAAGTCACGGGTTATGTTTACAGAACACATATTTTAGAAAAAGGTTGGAACATCTCATAACATACAAAAGTAGATTGATACGCAAATTGATTTCTTCGCTATCAAGCAACACCGAAGGTTATTCAAAAATGTCAAAGTTATAACTGGTGAATCATGTGTCGCCCAACATAGACACCTTGTGGCAGACCTGGTTGTCGAACTGTCACAACATGAGTCTAAAAAAATGCCTCGGAGAATCAAAACGTGGAAGCTGAAAAGCAATATTCATCGAGAAAAATTCCAACCGATTGTCGCCACACAGTTAGACCACCAATCGCAAGCCAGTAAAGATTGGGGTACATACAAAACTGTTTTGGATGTACTCCAACTAAAGTTTGTGGGAAAATTGGTACAAAACGTCAGCATAAACGGAACACTTGGTGGTGGAATGACAGTGTACAAAATGCAATAGGTGAAAAGAAAGCTGCTTACAAGCAACGGCAAAAATCAAAGTCTGTTAATGACCATAAAATTTTCCGTGAGAAGAACAACTATGCAAAACGTCAAGTCGCACTGGCTCAGACAGATCAGTGCAGAGAGTGGCTCGCTAAAAGCAAAGATGAACAAATGTAATCGTATAGCAAAACAAGCAAAGCGTACGAAAAAAGACATAGTTGGTGCCTCATGTATCAAAAACGACAAAAATGAGAAGGTTCTTGAACAAGATGAGATCAAGCTACAATGGAAAGAATATTTCAACCGTCTGTTAAATAAAAAAATCTGATCAACGTCAACTTTGACGCTCCACACATCAAAGTTTCGATTCCAGACATCACATAGCAATGTTTTTAAAGCCATTAAGGTAGAGAAAGTCACATCGTTTCAATATCTAAGGAATGTTCTGGATTGTCCTGGAAAGCTGAAGCTGCCGTTCGAGCACGCATACGTGCAGCCTGGAATAAATGGCACCTCCTTGTCTCTATATTGATGCGACGTGACATCCCACTACCACTACGATCAAGACTTTATAAATCTGTAATACGTCCGGTGTTATATAGTGCAGATTCATGGCCAACGACAACTAAACTGGAACAACAACTTCAACGAGCTGATATGAAAATGCTTCGTTGGATGCAACGAATTAGTCTGAAGGACCACATCAAATCTACTGAAATCCTGCGTCGTGCTAGTTTAGATGATATAAAAGATGAATGCCGGCAGTAGTTTGGTCATGTCTAACCCAATGGCCGTCCAAAGAAGTCCTGGTCGCAAACAATCGAGCAAGACATGAAAGCTATAAATTTAAATGAAATGGAAACAACTGATCGCCTAATTTGGCGCAAAAAATTGATGGCAAAGAAAACAACGTCCTACCTCAAGAGAAGTGGGTCTCTGGACGCTAAACGATGATAGATTTATTGTTAGATTTTTACAAAATGGGCTTGATTAATTTCATAAGTAAAAAAATAGGGTCTCTGGACGCTAAACGATGATTGATTTATTGTTAGATTTTTACAAAATGGGCTTGATTAGTTTCATAAGTAAAAAAAATAGTAAATAAGAAAAAATAGTGTACACCACAGTGTAATCACCTAATATTAGATAATACAACAACAACACACGTTTAGACATTTTCCCCGTGATAGGGAGTTGTCGTTTGGCTACCTATGATGAAACCGAAATACCCCTCGACGCCATTCCATCATAAGTAATTTATTAGGCTAATTTTTACGCAGGACGCCCTTCCTTACGCAACCAGTTATAAGCGGTGGGCCTAGCCTTTAATGATACAACATCACTCACAAGGCAGTGAGGGTCAGTTTAATGTCATAACCAGGACATTAATAATAGATAATAATGTATACATATTTATACAAAAATAAATGACAAGCATCAAATAAAAAGCAATACTTTGTCATCACTTAATGTTATCATAAGAGTAGACAAATAAATGAGGTTTGTAAAACAAAAAAGAAGTAAAATTTGTTAAAATGAATATTAGAAGCTTTACCTGTAGGACCCTTAAAGCTTGGTCCATTACAGATTTTAAATCAGTATGATAATCCGCAGAAGGTAAAGGTGTTCTACTAAAATATGCCCAGAACAACAACAGTGCTTTGGTATTTGATTTATCAAACGTATTATGTTCAACACTGACAGACAATTGATAAGCCAGTTCCTTGTTAATATAATCTTCGTTATGACGTACTGGAAGTTGGCTGAATTCTTCAGCATCCTGGGTTTTAAAAATTTTTAAGAACCATGGTATTTAAATTATATATTTTATAAGTATATTTTAATTGTTGAACTATAATAAAATTAAAAAATAATAAAACATATATATATATATATATGTGTATATACATGTTAACGTATATATATATATGTGTATGGTTGGTCGCAGAATCTAACAATATATGTATATATATATATATATGATTAGTGTAGTAGTTACTTTGATTAAATTAGTATTTTTATAACTGTAACCTTCAACCAGGTTTGCGTTTGAAGCAGTTGTGTTCATCTATAGGAAATCTAAAACCTATAGAATAACGATAACTTAATGATCGTTGGAAGCCACAACCGTGGCTTTGAAAATAGAGATCATTTATGTTATAACATGGGTGTTAGTAGTAAAGAGCGTTCAAAGTTTACAACATTGTTGTCAGAAATAAGATTTTTGATAGATAAAAATTTCCTGCTATAAAGAATGCCGGCGCAAGAGCTCAATACGTCTAGAAACGACAATGAAACCTCGACTCGAAAGAAGAGAAGGCAGCTTCAGTAAGTCGCCTAAAAGATGCTTTAAGAGAATTAATTAATCCGGATGATTTCGATTTTTGGAATCCTGTAAAAATAAATAGAAGATTTGACCAACAATCAATAAATTTTAAAACGGAACTATATCAACAATCAAAAGTTTTCGAAAAGAAACTAAACAACATATATGACGAAAGATAGAACAACAAAGTAAATTCAAAGCAAAATTAAAAAAAAAAAAGGATTGATAAAAAGGACCAGCAAGTTGACGATTTAAGCGAAAAAATTTATCAGAAAACGGACAAATTAAACGAAAGAATTTACAAAATAGAACGCAGCACCAGCGAGAAATAGAGAGAATTACCCGGAAACACGGAAGCACCAAACACGGAATCACTCACGCCAAGTCCATAAAAGCATCAACATTTGATAGTGCCAAACCCTGGAAGAGCTACCAGACTCAGCAGCACTCAGCTACCGGTAGTACACGAGAGAACAAACGACAGCATTGGTGTTATCCCTAGGAAGCTCGAAGCTCATCTTGGAGATATTACAATCTGTTACTGCCAAAGACCGTAACACTTCGAGAATCTAACCGATGTGTTAAACTGACGCTATGGAAACAAATATAATGAAAACCTCTATTTAACCTAGCTTGACCACCGTATGCAGAAAGCAGCAGAAACTGCTTAAAAACTAGCACAATACAGTTAGGCTGCCCCTGCTAGCGCACCCAACAGGTACCTTGGAATTCAGAGACAGAAAGACAACAAAAGCGTTTACTCAAACTCTTAGATACCTAGAAATGAGATATGATCTCACAATATCAAAGATGAAAACACTTGAAAGAATCCTGATGTTGAAGAAAGACGGCAAATACACAAAGAGAATGTGTGTCAAAGCAGGAGGCTACAAAGAAACAGAATGCTGGAACTGTGGGAAAAAAGGGCATATCAGGAAATATTTTAAGAGGCTCCAGAGAAGTAACGCCTATCGAGGGTACGATACGGGAAATCAACTTTTAACGAGTTGTCAACCCCATGTTTGGAATCTGCAGCTAACACGTCGGAAAACTAATAAAATGCAGCTTTGCGAGGCCCACAACAGTATTAACAATGTCTCAAGGCTGGATCGTGATCGAGATAACCTTTAGGTGGAAGGAAAGAGATCTACGCTAATGTCCAGTTACCATCGATACAGGAGCAACTAGATCTAGACAAGATATGTCAATCGATCCAAAACAAAAAAGATCAAGTAAGTACCTACTTCGAACTGCCACTGGAGAAACGGCACCCGTGTACGAAGAAGTATTTTGCACGGTAGAGATGGGAGACCTGGAGTTTGAGTGGACTTTCCCTGTGGCAGATAAATGATGAATGCATGAATCGATGAGATACGGCCTACAACTAAATCTGAAAATTTTTACATCTTAAAGCCGTCATGGAAAACAGTCAGCCAAAATGCACACAGGTCAATGGTGGTATGGTAAAATAAACCAAAAAAAAACATCAAAAATTAAAAAACCAAACAAAAAACGTCTGTCAGAAAACATCATTTGGGCAAAACTGAAAAACAGTAAATGCAGGAGCCAACAAATTGTCCTGGTGGAACCTATGCCGACGTCCAAAATACCAAATACTATTGCTGGAAAATGCATGGTAAAGGTCAACTAAGGCGCAGAATTTCGATCCAGATAATGAATGTATCGGAAAATTTAATTAAAAGATGGCAGAATGAAAAAAAGCCGATAAAAAGCCTTGACATAGAACTACAAAATGGTATTAAGGAAAAGAATTGCAGGGGACAGAATAGAAGTAATAAGAAATTAAGCATAAAGTACGTTCTTTTCTTGGACTAGATACAAATCCCCGACTGTTTGTCCAAGGCCTCGCCCTGATCGCAAAACTATTACACGAGTTAACAAAAAAAACCAAGTGATCGTATGAGATGACTCCACTGCAACAACATTCATACAGCTAAAAGAACAGTTATGTTTACAAACGAATGGGGGGTACATAACTCAAGGACAAACGTTCATTCTCGACGCGGATGAAAGTAACAGCGGATTAGGAGCTGTCTGTAACAAGATATTGCTGGCATTTTATAACAAGCAATTCTTAAGGCAAGAACGCAACTTCTGTGTATAATATATATATTCATGCAATACATATATATATATATATATATATGAATATATTTATATATATTAGTTGAATAATTGAATGTTTCAAGTAATAGTAGGATGATATGCGACCAGCCGTTAATAAATATATGTAATCAAAAACTAAATACAAACTGTAAATATCTTCAAGAGTTGAAAAACATCACAATCTTTTTGCAAGCTATTGTAAAAACCTCGGATAGTTGAATGTTGTAAGTAATAGTAGGATGATATGCGACCAGCCGTTAAAGATGTTACTGAAAAATTATCCTGCAAAAAAATTATTCTTATGCATTTGAATATGTAACTTGAATAAACTTAATGCCGCTAAATTTCAACTAGTTATACTGGATTACGGTTGCTTAGCCTCGACATCCCGATAACACTTAAACAGGAATTTTTGTATACTTGTTTTCAACAACCAAGGACGAATTATTATTACCATTAACCCTAGCTGTTAATTATTTTTTAAAAGTTTTTTTACATCTTAATTACATGTAAAATTTTTTACATCTTAATTACATGTAAAATTTTTTACATCTTAATTACATGTAATAGGCGGGAAACTTTTTGCATTCGAACTCACCCATTGCACAATGGAAATATAATATGCGGGATTAAGTTTGTATACGGTGAAGTGTTAGGCGGCCAACGGTTTAGCGGTAAAGTAACAGGATTCGATTGCAAAGATCCTCGTCTATCATATGTAATGCGATGTTTTACGTGCATTTTCATGTTTGATGTGTGTTTGATGTTGATGCCTCTGAAAATTGTAGAGAAAAGATTTGTATAATAGTAATAAGGAATAGATTTAACATAAAATAAACACAACAAAGGATGATAGAGAGTAAAAATAATATAAAAATATAAACAGTTGTTTAGATATATGCTATTATATTAAAATGTAGTTTAATTCTTTAGTTTAAAAAATTGTAATATATGAGACAATCTGATTAATTGTATAAGGGGTCAAGTGTATGCAAAACCAGTGTAGTCCATATTAAGTGGCCGGGTAAAAGCATAAAGGTTTAAAGCGTATCGATATAAACCTACACCGAAAAAGTGCTGTATGAAGATATATACAATATACATTTATAAATACATTATTCATATATACATTTCTTTCTTTCTTTATCGTCCATATCCTTTCAAGACATTAGCGACAAACGACGTCCACAAAACCCGATCTTTAACACTTTGTAATAGTTGAAATGTGGTGATGCAAGAACTTCAATGTTATTAATTGTTGACGCAATCTCTTTTCCCTGCAAACTTTCCAGTAGTAGTTAGATTTTCCATCCTTTCCTTTCGCATGATGTGACCAAAAAACTTTAACTGCCCCTGTCGGATTAACTGTAGTAATTTCTATTTTTCATAACCGAACTGTTTTTATACATGCTCATTCAAGGTATGAGAGGTCCAACTAATTTTCAAAATTCTTCTCAAAAACCATATCTCAGCAGCGTTGATCTTTTTTTCCATTTATTTTAGAAATAGTCCAGGACTCAGAGCCGTATGTTAGCACGAAAAAAATGTAACCCCTTTAACAGTTTAAATTTTGTTGATATTCTGATTTTACAGTTGGTGAAGATGTTTTTAATTCTGGAATATGCATCTTTCGCCATAGCTATCCTTCTTTTGACATTCACATCACATTTACAGCCTGAGGTAATCAGATTTCCGAGATAATTGAAGCTATTGACTTGTTTCACCTGTTTACCATAAATGATTTATGTAAAAACCAGTTTGGATACAATTATTTGCAGTTTTTCCATTGAATTTATTATGAGCTGTATCATCAACATATCTTGCATTGTTAATATTCACGCCTCCAATGGATATCCCAGGTAGATCTATCTTTCTCATGATGATCTCACTATAGAGACTGTACAGGTCTGGATGAATACACAGATTTGCCTAGCACCTTGTTTATTTTGACAAAACCAGTCATCTTGTTACCAACGTTTATCGCTGTTCTTCTTTCAGTAGAGGTTTTTGATATTTATCAAGCCTCTTCCGTCAATATCCAAATCTTTTATGCTAGAGGTTTTAACTTTTCATAGACCTTAATTGCAAGTTATAATAAGGGGTTTCAATTTTTAAACATCGTTTTACATTAATTGATTCTTCTAAAAATTGCCAGTTTCTCCTTTATTTTCTTAAATCGTTTCTATCAACAACTCATAAATTTATCTGAGTGCTCAGCAAATAACTATAACTTTTTGCATAAACAAAGAAGTTTTATTGTTTTGGTATCTTTCTCTACACCCAAAAAATACATAATTTAACAGAAAACAAAAAAGTTCAGATATTTTTTTGTGATATAACAAAAGTTGACATTAAACAACGACAAGCCTTAGAAATAAAGTAATCTAAACACTAACCTCTCCAAGATCAATGCAGTGAGAAGAAATTAAACTGTTTAGAGATTTCTGAACTAACGCCGACAAATATTTATTTATTTTCTCGGGAGTAACACTTTCCAAATTGTAATAACTGGAAAATTGCAAAAAAAAAAATAAACTAACAAAACTGTAATTTTATTAAAGTAACTAACCTTGGGTTTATAATAAGTCTTCTAAAAAAATATGTCCAAGTAATATAATCTATCGCATCTTGTTTAGAACATATTGATTCAGCGACTATTTCAGCATTCAAATGATCTGTCAATACATCTAACAAGCTGGTTACCAGTAAGAGATAAATTTAACTGAATTATTTTTTTTTAATTTTTACAGCGTGTTTTTTAATCATGTAAGACATAAAGAAGTAATTTGTAGACAAATGTAACAAAGTCCAATTGACATTCCAATTAATAATAACATTTATATCCTAATAATAATTAATAATAACAATTGGAACAAGATACCTAACAAACAGATAAAACAGAAAGAAAATATTGATGGAAAAAAATTTAAAATATTTTTAACTATAGAAAAATTGAAAAAAATTTCAATTCTATAAATAAATAAAGAGTTTGGTAACAGAAAAAAGAAGAACTGTGATATAATTATCAAAACTATATGAAAAATGTTGCCAAATTTGAAAGACCGATCAAGGTTGAATTAGACCGCGATGTTTACATAAAATTAGTAGAATGTTAAACTTAGTGGGTGAAAAATGAATTATGAATTTAGTGAAACAAATGCACTAAAAACATTTCTAAGAAACACATTTTAAGTTGGCAATTAAAATGGGTTGTTAAATTAAACAAAGGGAAGCTGCCATGAATTGTCTAATGAAATTGAAAAATCAAATAGCTTGATAAGAAAAATTTTCAGTATTCAATGCTCATCTAAGAGAATAATTGTGCTTTCCGATGAAACTCAAGAAAAGGTTAAAAAAATTGAATAAATTAATGAAATAACTATAAGACTTTTCAGACGAATTTCTTGCTGCCAGCCGCTTAATAATTTTATAACTATCCTCCAAATGTTAGTTTTCCATGAACTTCTATTTTTTTTATACTGGAAAGATTTTTTACATAAAAAAATAAAACTATATAATTCAAAACATTTTTGTACTCTTTGGTACTACCTTTTAAAAATATTCTGTTTCGTTTTTGGTTTACTGTTAATCCGCCATATTTCCATTTTGTATCTAAACTTACTTTTTGAGATACTAACTTAAATTGATACAAAAACTAAAACTTTTTTTTTTCTTTATATGCATCTCTATAAAACGCAGAGCTGCTTACATGTTATTCAAGATTTATAATCTAACCTTCGTGCACAAAGGCCGTACGCCACAGGACGCACATACACATACGCAATAGGGCGGGTCGAATTTTTTTATCTTTCCTGTACATGAACTAAAAGTTGTCTTGGCATCAGTACAGTATGAAAATAATATTTAAAGATTTTTTATGAAACGTTTAGGCGTCCCAACTTTTCTTACCTTATTTGGTGTATTTTAACCATTTCCTTGGTACAATCTAAATATGTACCAACTATAAATCATTGACTAAAATGCCTTGGCAAATGGCTTAGCACCTAACTACAAGTGCTAAAAAAGAAATGGAGTAAATTTTATAACGTTATTTACATGTGACGTCACCAACATTAGCAACAAACCATGTGCTGGATTTTTTAGGAACAAGCAAAATATCTAATATATTATTTTGTAATTTTATTTTCTTTTTTGCAATAATAGATCTATAGTAAAATTCAAGTAGGCTATAGCCTAGACTGTAGATAAATCACTTCATTTAACATGTAGCCCTATTTATGAGAGGGCTAAAACATATTATAGTGTGTATAAATATTGAAATATTTATTGACTAAATTCTTATGAAAAATTGTTTTAACAGCTTTTATTTATTGTAAACATAACGTTGTAGTTTTTTTTTTATTATTTTAGACAAATTATATTAAATATGGATAGTATGTGTACACGAAGTGCAACTAAACATCCATTGTTTGGACAGTTAGTTGATCTTCCTGAAAATCAAATCCCATCATATGAAGACGTTATTAAGGCGTTCTGTTATAATCAGAAAACAGTATTAGAAATTAGCTTGCAAGAAAGATATTCAATTTTAGCAGACAGAGTGAAAAGTGTTTATTCAAAAGCAAGTATTCCTACAATAGAAGTGAATAGCACAATCATTAGGATTAGAAGACTTATAGATAAAGTACATACACTTGAAAAATATTCAGATGCAAAAAGAACATCAGACACGTTCACTGAGAAATTGAATTTTTTTAAGCAGTTATTTGACATTTGTACCTGCAAATGGTTTGACTCGGGCATTAGAGATAGAATGTACGTGCCCACTGCCAAATAAAATTCCATTGATAGAGTGGGATTTCTGGGTTGACCAGAAAACTGTTAGAAATATGATAATTGGTGAAGTAGACAAAGAAACAAGAGCAACACTGGAAAAGAGACAAAAACGCAAATTGATGAAATCAGTGTGTGATGAAGCACAGTCAAAAGAGGTTGAATATGAAACTGAGGAAGATATTGATGAGGATGAGCGTAACACGTCTGAAAGTAATTATACATCAGAAGAAGAGACAGTATCAGTGCAGAACAGAAACAAGTATAAGGAATTATGTAAAGCAGTTGATCGATGCAAAATTAGGAACAGAGATACATGTCTAATTGTTAATGCTGTTTTAAAAGACCTTAGTACGTTGTCTTCAGCAACAATTCTTGACCCTTCAAAGCTACGTCGACAAAGGAATTTCTGGAGAGATACTCTGGTTGAAGAACATATGCAGAGCAATAAGGAATTGTGCTGTATAGGCTTTGATGGAAAACAAGACGTTACATTAGTTGAGAGTTTTGGTTGTAGAAGTAAAAAAGAACACTATACTATTGTCTGGTATCCAGGAAACATATAGTTCCTGAAAGTAGTAAAGCTGCTGATATAACAAAGGAGTTAATGTCAGTTATTATAAAGACAAACTCCGTAGAAAGCATTCAAGGTGTTGTGTGTGATGGCACAAATAATAACACAGGTAAAAGCAACGGAATCATAAGAAAATTGGAGGAGAACTTAGGTAGACCATTACAGTGGTTGGTATGCCTTCTACACTGTAACGAGCTGCCATTTACAAGGTTTTTGGCAGGCGTGGATTTTGCTCGAACTACAGGACCTTCCACATCGACAGGTACAATTAGCTCAGCTCTAGGATATGATCCGAATGAATTGCCTGTCGTTAATTATTTGCCAATTACTGGTAAGGTGACTGATTGTGATGAAGCTGTCAAGAAGGATCTTAGCACAGACCAACTGTACTTTTTGAAAGCATGTCTAGCAGTACAGCGTGGACGTCAGGCTTCTACAGATATTGATTTCCTCGAGAAGAGTTTACCTGGAAATATAAGTCATGCTCGATGGTTGACGAAAGCCAACAGGATTTTGCGTCTCTACATGTCTAGAGAAGTGGCATCTGAACCTCTCAG